ACTGGGTGCGACAAGATGTATTAAACTGTGCTTCGCATGCAAATAAATCAAAGCCTCTTATTCTACATAGAAGTTTCTGATCGTGTTTTTCTTCAGCTACTGGGATTACACTACCACTTTTTCAAACCTCGACGGTCCTTCTCAGGTTTTGGTTCCTCCTGTCTTCACATTCTTCCTCGCCACACGGCTACAGAAAATACAATCTGGATTGAAAATGATGTTGTCCTTCAAAGCTGAATACGCCTACCCTGTCTCAACTGCGGAGCATTCTGCGGGTTGGTATCCTGAGAAGGAATCAAGCAACTGAGATTAGCAGTGAAACGTTGGCAGCAGTCACGACGGTAACCATGAGAAGGGCACAAACTGTCAGGAATTTGATCACACATAACATCCATGCGATTAGCAGAACCAGCAGGCTGTAATCTATCGGTCATCCCTGACTTTCTGAAGGCATTTCATTCGAGCTTCGGGGTCATTTACTTCACAGATGAATGTGAAATTTTTGCAACTTGATTCTTTGTAGTGCAGAACAAAGACGCCTGTTTCACTGCATTGTTCGGTGGCCTCTAAGCTTCGTTTTCTGATCTGCCGCGACAAGACATGATTCACCGTCAATCAGCGGACAGCCTGAAAAGATAACAGAACTACCAACTTACTGTGATGTCCCTAGAGGGTGCATTTCACTTTGCAGATTGAAAGCACCCCTGTCGAAGGAACTCTACTAACTTGTGCTCGTAGAGGATTTTTTGGTAGATCTGCATGTATCACCATCTGGTGATCAGTTGAAAAGCAAACTACAGTTGACTTTCCCCCTTTCAGTGCCGAATTTATTTTCAATAGGTACATAACTCCCAAATGCCAAACTTTTTAGGGTTGTCGTAATTGTTTAATCATGGTCCATGTCCCAATGGGCAAAATACTTACAAGGTTTGAAACAAAAAATTCACAAAAGCGAGCACATTTACTGTGCGCCGCCATCTTTTTGTGCAGTTCAAATACAATGCGCCCTCTTTGGAGCCAGCAATTTAAAAACGAAGTCTCAGAGATGACTGTGCTCTTTTTTGAAGGTTGTTTGTAGACTGTATGTGTATGGTGTTTGGCATTTTATGATTACAAAAATAATACGAAAATGCATGATTTCGGAACTTTGGAACACTTCACGTAGATCGTACATATATACTAGTCAACGACCTTGATCTGCAATCCAATCGTTTTAGTCATATCATCACCTACCTGTGTTGATATTGGGATTATTTTTTATGTCATATCCTACATCAAGAGAAAGGAATCTGACAGTTTCCACAATCAGCAGGTATGTTGTCCTTCAAGATCAGCGTCGTGTATGTGTAATTGTAAGGTGTTATGGCTGGGCTTGCAGCCTTGTAGCCCCTTCTTTGACGTATATAGCTGCCGTTCCTCTTTCTTATGTTTGGCACGCAAAGTATTTACTTTGTTTGAATAACGAGTGTGGTGGTGTGACGGGAGCAGGTATTTAAGCTCCGCACTGTACCTTGCCGGGTTCTCAGTCAGTGCATACCACCATCAAGGGAGGCAGATCTTCCACCAGAGGCCAAGACCTCTACCAAGCCAAGCCGGCAAGACTGGGTTTGGCCATCTCCGCCGAGATCGTCCGGACCGTGGATCGTCGAGGCAACTACCGTGATGGCTTGCAGTTGACCTCCAGTATCCAGAGCCCAACGCCGCTTATCACCAGTCTCCGAACCGTCCTGTGGCGCTAGCTGAGCAGTGATAGACCGTGACGGCCCTGCCCTTCCTCCCTGTGCGTGACCGAGCGCCCGGCTTTTCCTCGTTCTTAGTTCCGTGAGATCATATTAATTTCATTATATTCGGCCAAATATTGGGTTTTCATGTCATGTATTTCCCTTTTAAATGTTAATTTTTGGATGTAATAGTTTGTCGTCAGTTCTTTTTGCTCGATCTTATTTTTATAATAAACGATTGCTACTTGTTCATAAGTTAATACCTGCCTGATGCATCCGTCCATTGCCAGTTCTCCAATGTACCAAAATTCTACGTTTGTTTCCTCCTTCGTCAGGTATTGTCTATATCATTTTGCGTTAGTTTGTAATTGTCTTTTCTCTGCCGAGCGTCCGAGTACGCATGTCATCACGTAACAAAGGCAAAGGTGATTCAGTGGCAACTTTTTAGGCTTGTTCAAGAATTTTCCTTATTTATTACCATTGTAACAGTTTTAAATTGCAATTGATTTAAAACTAGTTTTAAACAAAATTATTCTCGTATCTTAAATTTTCTTGAACTTCAAAACATGTCCAATTTGGGGGAAACAATTAAACTTCTGTGTAAGAAAAGAAACTTCTCTGCAACCTTGATGCTGCTGGAGAATTAGAGCAGTGTAACGTCTCTCTTAGACCGTGTCTGAAACGGGCTTCCAGAGCTACGGCTAAGTCTATTGTCTATTCATCTCCACGCATTTCGAATGTAGCAAAGAGCTAGACCTAGCTCTAGACAACAGAATTGGATGCAGCCTCTGGGTAGGGAGCTGTTGTGTCCATGGTACATGAATAGCGCTCATTGGGAGAAGGGATGGAGATATGCTGCGCCATGTTGGAGACAGGGAAATAAAGCTGGGTAATCGTTCTGAGTATTTCTTCAGTTTTTGTGTATTTACTGCATTTACTAAACTTTGAACATAACAGGAGCCGTTTTCAAAAAGAATAATAGTGTTCGAGTCATTGGACTGACTTACACACACTACTGATTTTTTTCTGAAGAATTATTTACATTTTCTTTAGAAAATTTACAATGAACAACTTCTGTTGTTACCGAGGCTGGATATTGCTGTATGGGATGTTCATCATGGGAACAATAATCAGAGTACAACTCGTCCTAATCTAAGCTGTTTATCGGGATTGACAGATTATTCATGTCAGAGCTATGCACTCACGAACGGTCAGAGAGTTACTACTCCAAAGCTGCCCGCTCCAAAGCTACATTGTTTTCACCTATAAGAAGGCAGCACAAGGGTCACGCTCAGTCCTATGAAACCATAGACCTGGAGGAGCATGTGACAGTCATGTTTGTATACATGTGTGTTTGTACACGCAAATGTACATGTACATGTACATCCACCATGTGTTTGTACATGGTTTTGCGTGTATTCTGATTCCGATGCCAAGATGTTTAACATTTAATCACGTAAGAAAGAATTTAGCCTTCACATTCATATAGTAATCATATAAATGTACATGTATACACTTATTGCATGGAAACACTTTATTGTAATTGTGCAGGTAATTTTGTTGGATTTGACAGTGTTTATTCACAATACTAGTACATGTACGTGGGTAGTGCATATTCCGCAGTGTTATACATACCAACCTATGGCCATTCCCCTTGCTTTTTCTCAATTGTTTCCAAACTTGTATGATTAACTGGAAAAGCTCACATCAGTGTATTTTATCTCATATATTTTTCAGTATGCCAAGAGCATTGAGATTACCCAAACCCAGAAACAACCTTGTTGGAGTGAATGAACTCTTCAGCATCATTTCAAGCAACCTTAGAATTAACCTCTAGTGCGACTGTACTAGAAAATAATGCAATTTATTGATAACCTGGTTTTGTCTTGTTTGTTTTTTCAGCTGACACATCCGTAAGCATCCAGTGATCCTTCGAAACTTTGATGGATTGTTCTCTGGATTGGATTTCAGCCATACAAAAGATTCTGTTGATGGAGGTGTGGCGAGCTTAATAGAAATGTGCACTGTGGTATTCCATTCCTATAGACACACGTTGTTACACATACGGTTTAATATGTACATGTATTTTCAAAGACACATGTAGCTGCAAGAAATATTGAACTTCAAAATGTGTACACTTTATTGCGCAGGGGAGCCACTCTAAGTTGTCTTTTTGTGGGTATTATTACAAGAATGAAACTCAACCAAAGTTTAGATTTTATAATCGATTTTTTGACGATCTGTTTTAAGCGGATTATCACACATCACGTTTTTTGTACTGAAAACCACACGGAACAAGATAAATACCATTCATCAAACACGTCCGCCTTCATACCATTACGAACTTTGTCCCTGTAAAAATAGAGTATCGATACCAGATACGGTTTCCAAATTATCACTTTATCTATGGCGCAAGGGGAAATAGTATCCGAGTAAATATTTGATAACTAGAATCGAGTTTTTAAACAAAATGGCTTCCTCCAACTGTTTTTACGTGAACGAAAATATGATTTTAAAGGGCCGTTTTCTCATGAAGGTGCAAATGCATTCGAATGAAATATATACAAAATATATTTCCGTTGTTGCTTGATCTTATGCCATTAAATCTTTTTCACGAAAAATGATTTTCATATAAAAATTTGTGATTGAAGATGAAGGGTTAAAGTGGAGGTTTCTCGTTCAAAGCTTCAGCAAAAGTTATTGTAAATCCACTTTTCTACATTTTCTAGTGAACATTTCACCTAAAAATGCCCGTTAATTTTTTATTTATTGTTCCCGTCTGATTTAAATAACCAGATTCTTCATGTTTTCGAAAAAATGCCAGAGTTTTGGCGCCTCTTCTTTGCGTCGTCTGCTTACTAGAAAAAGATGGGTCGGCCTGCTTCCCACGGACCTATATAAGAAAATCTGGACTCGCAATGCCCTTAATCAGCTTAAAGAGATCATTGAATCCACTAGCAGTTATTTTACCGAGCCGGATACAAATGCCTGCCTTTCTTTGAGTCAACCCGCACATTTGTATTTTGCTTGGTAAAATGGCGGCTGGTTGGCTTCTATTTCATACATAGGCATTGCAAGTCCAGGCTTTTTTTTAATTTAAGTCCGTGCTGCTTCCTAACGGTTTTGAGCATGCGCAGTTTAATCAAACTAAATTGATGTCCGCTGCGGCGTGGACATACGTGACATTTGGTCTTCGCTGATGGTGAAACGCTGCTCGTGGTTGAGCAACAGGGAACTTGGTCAACGAGAGAAAAGAAAGGGTGAGTCTTTCTCGATGCATAGAGTTGTGTATGATACCTGGTCTCTGGATGGCTAGGAAGTCTACACGCAATTCTGATGGGGTGAAACTATGGACGAGTGGAAGTAGTTGAACGATGGAGCTAGCTATAAAAAAGCCACGGTTGACCTTGCTGTGCCGTGACTGGACACGGGCTTTCAGTGTGTGGGTCAGCGGGACACGTACGCTATGAAGTGGAGGTCTGTTTGGGTCGAATGAACGGGTCACATGTGTGACCATGGAGCTATTAACACGATTAAGCTCCACGATGTGACTGAAAGTAAGATCGATTAAAAAAAAAAAGATTTGAAAAGGTTGGAAATGTGCTGCGGATCGAGTAGCGGTTGAAGGCCATGTTGCAGCATAGTGCAACCATGGAGGTAGGTTTAAGGCTCCTCCAGGTCTATGGTGCAACTGGGTCACGCGTAGTATACCTGGCGCTGTGTACATGTACAATGCATGCAATCTGCATGGTCATTGTGCGCTGGCTGTGGAGTGCGTGGTGTGTGTAATAGAAATAACGTACATGTTCATCACAGACGTATATATAAAAAATATGGACTCGCAATGCCCTTAATCAGCTTATAGAGATCATTGAATCCACTAGCAGCCATTTTACCGAGCCGATTACAGAGCTTGCCCGACAGTGCCAACCTTTGTTCTCCCTCGTGTCAACAGAAGCGAGGCAACCTGCGCATCGGGCTTGGTAAAATGGCCGCAAGTTGGCTTCTATATCATACATAGGTGTCGCAAGTCCGGTTTTTTTTATATACTTCCGTGATGTACATGTAAAAAGGGAACAGTTTGTAGGAACGTAACACTATTATCCTTGTTCAGGCGCCATTTTTGGCACCAACCAGTCTTTATCAACTGTGTAAGACGGCAGACATGACAGATTCTGCACCAATATGAACGGTGACACTTCCTTAAGGAATTTATTAGTTGGCCAAAGCTATACACTGTAAAAACTCAGGTGTTAAAATCAACACTTTTGGGTGTTATCAGATGACCACACCATATGGTGTTACTTTAACACTGATGATGTTACTTTGCACACCTATAAGTGCACTCAGTAAAAGGTGTTACAAGTAACATCAAATAACACCAAAATTTTAACACAAGTGTTAGTGTAGTCTTCTGGAAACACCGCAGGTGTTAAATTTAACACCCCAGTTTTTGCAGCGTATATTTAGGGATTTCATAGGAGAGCACTGACAGTATGCATTTCGGGGTAATAACGTGTTTTTGTTTCTGAAATGAAAGGCTTATCTTGGTAATCTGCACTTTTTCCTGGAATACGTTTATTTTCAAAACATAAATGGTGTCAACCGTAAACCATGTTCAAAGTTCATTGAAATGTGGCCACAGCAGTGTGTGGATGGAATTTTGAGGGTCACAAATTTCAACTTCATTAGAGTATGCCTGACCTTTTGACCTATATTTGCATAACCAAGGGGTATATCTGTCATTGCTTCACACCTTCAGACAGGAGACCTAAGTAGCTCTCAAATGACACCTAATTTGTCCAGATAGGCAGAAGCTAAACGTGTGATTTGACCAGTTTTGTTTCCCCTACCCATATTTTTACGCCCATTTCTTGCGTTAATCTTGGGGTTTATATCTCACTGAAGTGGATATTTTGTACATCTTAAATTCATGTTTACATCATTTTTCTGATGCAGTAGGGCCATCAGCATAACAACATACTAAGGACGTCAAGTTGTGGGGGGGGGTGTGCATGTGAACCCATTGTTGCCCACGGACTATTGTAGCTTTTAGTACAAGCGCGACATGCTTTCGAGATATTCAATGCATCTCCGCGGTTTAATTGTCCACTTATGGGTGGATCATGCTTGAACAGCCATGTCTTGCGCCATTAATACACATCTTATCTTGCCCGCAACTGAAAAGAGCAGATAAAGCACGGGCAAGGATGAAAAGGGACTTGTTTGTATTGAGCTGTGTTATGTAACTAGGTATTCATCTCGTGATAATTTATACAACGGGTTTTGCCTTTACCCAACGCATATATTGATAAACACTGTATGCTCAGTACTTAATTAATTAAGAAATAATTAATCTAATCAATTAATTAAATTGATTTATTAATTAAAATGAAATAATTGTTTAAGTCTCTGCCACAAATGCCAATACATTCCATATTTTGTGTTTGTTTTTATTAACGACTACGGATAACAGAATTGGGGGGTCCGAACCCCCGATTATCCCCCTCGCGTACGCCGTCATCACCTATTTCTTATAATTTTGTAAATGCACACTAGGCCTATCACGCGTTGCCGAACATCTGCGAATCTCCTCCTGTTGGTTTAACGTGGCCCACTGTATTTATCCGTCTTTTTCTCAGTCACAGGTATTCTAAAAGCCATGATTGTCACTCACTCCTGCAACCAACCGACAATTTCTCTGCCCAACAGCGCCCTCAGTGGTGTGAATGTAATTGCTGGGAATGACTACAGTGGATACAGTATGTACGAGGCTCGCATCAAGGCAGGACAGAGTGTTTCTCTGAGGTCCCCGGACAACCAACACTGCGTTCATCATTACTATTTCATCACCGGCTGTGGGAAATGCAAGAGGGAAGGTGTAAAAGACGAATACTATGTTGGTCCTGACCATGTGGTGGCGCTCTCGTCAGATGTAACGCACACCTTGTACGTGTCAGCAGAGGGTGATATGCGCGTCTTGGTAGTCTACTATCCAGACCTCCAGGTCGTCTATAAATCTCTTGAGTTAATTAGAAGCTTGTCCGAGCTGCTTGGCACCGACAAGGATATCGCGTTCGGGAATGGTAACAGTCGTCGATTCATTGTCAAGAAAGATGGCTTCCCACTTACTATCACCAACACTCGTGTCGCAGCTGAGACATCGTCGAAGCAAGAGTACAGAAACCATATCGAGGCAGCGTATTATATTCATGGTAGCACGACTTATTATTGGCAAGATGACGGCGATCGCTGGACCCATGAGCAAACCAAGACGGACGAAAAGAACGGCACCAACTACTTCATGAATTTGCATGACAAGCACGAAATGATTACTGGCGAGAAGGATTGTTTCTGCATTTGCATATTCGATCCGGCCTTGAATGGGGACGAAACCCACCGCTTCACCGAAGATGGTTTCTCAAGTTATGAAAGATGAAAGTCCAAAAGCGATCGTAAAAGACGTTGCACGTGACGTTATCTCAGTAATTGATATTTTTTTTCGTTAAAACACTTTCGGCTTTTGTTTTTTTTCATGTGTCTTAAATAGTGAGTGAATCAAATTTTAACCAGACGAATGCGGTTGTGAACAACCACGGAGCTGCTTTGGATTCAGAGCCTTTTCTAAGCATCATTTGTATATATTGTGAGCTATTTAATTCCGAGAAGAAAAAATCTTTTCGAAATGGTGATTCCCACAGTCCCGGTCATCGGACATGTCCTTGCTTCTTTCTTGGACCTTAGATGCTGGAACGAACTGCGCGACACAGGGCATTTCCGCACTCGGTAGCGGCCGCGAGTGTGAATACGTGTGAAGTATATGCACCAAATTGAGTAGGACGATCTTACTAGTAAATAGCGCTATTACTTACTTGGCTAATCCAATTTACTAATCTACACATATACCTGAAATTGGTGAATTGAAGTTTACAGTTTTCTGCAGAAATGCACTTCAGAAATGCAATCAGGGATTGACTGTTAACTTACTGAGTGAATTTCGTAACGATCAGATATTGCTTATAATGTAGAATTCAAAATCGTAAATGATGGAGACGTCATCATGACGTCACCATATTTTCCCACGTATGGATATCTAATAGATCTGCCGAAGGTCTAGCAAAAGGAATTTGATAAAAACTTGTTTTGTTCAGGAGATATTTTTTAAAAAGTCAAAATAGAAAAATATGAGCAATGAAAAAAGCTAAATGAAGAATGAACAGAGCAATATGAAAAATGCCACCAACCAAAATTGGCTGGCTGAAGCCAGAGAAACAAATAGCGAGATGTAGGAAGAAAAATATATCAAGTACGTCAACAAAGGCATGGATGAAGATCAATCCAGGAAAAAGGCAAACAGAAAGACCCCCTGGGCGGTCAAGCAAGACTTTTTCGACGACAATATGGAGCTTCTGTCAAGTTACCTACATTTGAAGCATAATGAAACTCACCAGGACATTGTAGATGATCTCGAAGAAAAACTTAACAAAGGCATGGAAGTCAACAAAATCTTCAATAGGGTTGATGATGATAAATGCTGATAAATTTGAGAGACTGTTTCAGGTTACTGATGAAGAGGAAAATCACTAAATTACAGCAATCATTAGAGACAAATGGTTCCAAAATAGTAACGAGTACATGTAATGTCTCTAATTTAAAATGTAACAAACTTCCAGTAATCAACTTTAGTAATTCTTAAAAATAGTATAATTGTAAAAAAACTGAATTTGTTTTATGTTCTTACTAATCGGCATGACTACCGACCAACAATTTTCGGGTAGGATACTGGTCTAGAACTTCTGCACAATATTCCATAGCACGACGGATAAATTTACCCCTTTGCTATGTGTTAAATCCCCAATCGACGTCATATGCCACCCACGAGAATTTTTATTTTTTTAAATGATGATCTATTTTACACTTATTCCACAATAAAGATCAACAGTAATGCTCCTCTCTGTTTGAATTTGTGAAACCATATACATGTACAGGGTAACCGACGTAAAACACCAGTTCAAAAGAAAAATAACTTCAGCCAGAGCCAAAATCATATATATGTATATGTACAGGGCAACGGCTCGTAAAACTCTAGTTCGAAGGATTAAGAAATTTAGCCAGGGCCAGCCCGTTCTTCTTTCCTGTATTGATCAGATCTCCGTAACCAAAGTAAGCCAAACCCAAGACCGTTAGCATGTACCTGCCGGCGGCACGTACAGTCCATTGAATATCTAAGGATTATTGTTTACTACCCCTTGATTACTTTAGGACCTTCTGGTGGGCTAGTCGGTATTTTTCCATGACATCACGCAACATATCTCTTTTTTGTGTCTTTTTATCATCCTATCTCATCCGATTGTGCCATAATTTCACAGGGAAGGTCAAACTGTGCCACATTTGCTGATCTTTTTCTATTTTTGTAGCAAATTTCAAATTGTGCCAGACTGTCGCCCCCTGCTAACTACTGGCAGAATATTCAGAAGTGCAGGTCAGGAATGTATGGTGTTCTATAGCCGCCAAAATTGCGCCGCGTCGTCCCATCGCCCCTTACACCACGACGCGACGCTACGACAGCTCCGTCGCGTCGTCTCTTTTCTCATTACTTTTATGCTATGTTTAATACATTGTTTCGTGCCATCTTGCCGCCGCGTCGTGCCTCCGCGTGGTGTTGTTTGTTGATTATGTCGCGCTGTGCCGTCCTGTCTTATCGCGCCGTCGTGATGTCGCTTCGTGCCGTCGTAACGTCGTGTCGTGCCGTCAAATCGTCGCCTCGCCTGTCATTGTATGGTGTTTATGCAGTGTGGGCTAGGCCGTCGCGTCCTGCCGCCGTGGCGTCGCGTCCTGATGTCTTGCCGTCGCATCGTGTCGTCGCACCGTCGTGTTGTGCTGCCTTATCGTCCTCCGTCGTATCGTGCCGTCGTGCCTGACTGTTTCTAAAAATGGCTGGTGATTACTAAGGCCAATGGAGGGCGTATGTCACAAGTCCTGGAAAAACAATGTGCTTGGATAGCGTTACACCATTGATCTTTATTATATAGACTGAATAGGACATCGCGTCCAAAACGCGTCCCGCGTATGCGTATTTTCAGGAGTGTAAATAACGAGCATTGCGAATTTCGTTGTGTGTACTTTCAAATGGAGTTTTTCAAAAACTGTTGAGGTTTTTGTGCTTTGATCGTCAGATTTGAAAGAAAAACTGAATTCTGCACTCGGAATGGATAAATTTGGAAAGAATATTTGTCGAGGTGTACGCAGTAGTGAATTAGCGGAGATCAACGTCAAATTTGGAAGAAGGAACAAAAGAAAATGCGAGTTGCACTTTTTAGTTTAAGAAAATTTCTCAAGTTGTACTTTATAATGCTTAACTTTAAGCCTATATAGGCTTAGTCAGAAATTTATGACAGTCTATCTAGCCTATCAGGCTTTGTATATGAAACTTCACTATCTCGAGGTTGGGACTGTCTGAAATATTACTGACTGGCAAAAAGGGTTTAAAAAACGGAATGACTAATTTGTCGTTTATTTTCTCCAGATTTCACCGGAAAAATCTCCAAGACAGCCATGATTTGTGCTTGTCGGGTCTAAAGACGCACTGAACCCAAATCATGTGACAGCCTGAACCCAAATCATGTGACAGACGATGTGATATGAGTGACAGAATTCTTCTTCGGGGCAGAGATGAAACCAAAGTGAGAAGCAGAGGACTGACGTTTCTGTTGAATGAAGTTACAAGCAAGGGAATTCAAAGCCTTCAACACAATGAAAGAAACTTTGTCTACAGAACAAAATTATTCGTTCTCAGATAAAACTGACTTTTTATGCCGGAAAGTAGTTGTTAAATGTAAATCTTTAAGTCAGGTTGTGAACTCAACTTTTTAAGCTGATTAATATCTGTTTTAAACGGCAGAGTTTGGTCGCTCATTTAAAGCTGCGCTCACTTTGTGTTCACAGAAATGATTCTCACACTTTCGTGTGCCTCATGTCGGTTTTCAATGAATTTTACTTAAAATATGAATGAATTTTATTTAGTACTATTTTATGGGGGGTTAGCTACGTAATTTTTAAAAATTCACCTTTCCCCAAAGATATCCCTCAAAGAGTAGTAAAACTATGCGCTCAGTTCTGCATATAGCCGTCCGCCTCTATCCAAAATAGGTCTGCATTTTGGGTTTTTTGGGTGAAAGAAATACCCCGAACTGGAACTATCAGTCCTAAATTCAGGATTAACAAAAATGTTTCTATGATCCCTTCTGATTTTGGCATGTCTTATTGTAAAAGCCCCGTAGGATCATAAAATATTAATGAGCTTTGGCCCAGGAATCTAACAATTTGGTAGAATGCACCCATAGGGCCTACAAGATTTGATAATGAAAAATGAAAACTGAACTTAAATCTAACAATTTGGTGGAATGCACCCATAGGGCCTACAAGATTTGATAATGAAAAATGAAAACTGAACTTAACTCTGTCTCAGAGGGCGCCGCTTATTTCTACCAGTAATGAGGCGACAGCGAGAGCACAATGAGACCACGCGACGGCACGATGCGACAGTACGACGCGACTGCAAGACAGCAGGACACGACGCAACGACGTGGCGTCGCGTCGGGGCGATGGGATGAAGCGACGCACATTTGGCAGCTATAGAACACCATAGGATTGAGCAAGCATTGCTTACGCGGCATTAAAGTCTTTTACCCAGCTGGAGTAAAATGCCGTCATTGAAGGCAAACGGTGCTAAATCCTTGTCACCGCAACAGGAGTTCGGAACATGCACCAGTCAACCTTCAGAAGGAGTAACATTCTCCTAAGCTTAGTGTCATCGAAGAAACGTTTGAAGATAACACTTAATGACAAACCAAGTGCCTGGGCAAGCCTGGGCCTGTCTTATATCAATGGTCGGTCTCTCCGATGTGTCTCTGAGCTGTCTGGTGCTCGTCAACAGACGGCGGGTTAATAAAACGGGTTGGCTCCACACGTTTGCAGTACTACTACAAAGGACCGTCATTCTGGCAGCCACTTCGCAACTTTCGCTCATATTATTTTTTTCTGGGTCGGGTGATGCCAATCTTCCCAAGACCATTCCATTTCAACGTAGGGAGAAAAGTATCCTTCCACCGTTTTAACTTGTCCACTTTTGGACCACCCCGCAGTCGTCAAAGTAAAATCCAAATTCCTGCTAGCAAAAAATTGGGTTTTTCGAAAAGGTATATACAACTTAAAAACCCCAAAATTCTACGTGCAGAAAATAAGAAAATGGGATTGTCCTCAAGTTGGGAGCATCAAATAAAATTTGCTAACGGAAAATTGAAGTTTCCTGTTGTCCACTTTTGATGCGCCAGTCGCGCCACGAAGACTTCTTTAAGTAAATTCCCAATTTTTGCTAGCAGAAAATTGAGTTTTTGAAAATACCTTACGCAAATTCCCAAACCCAAAAATCTACTAGCAAAAAATCAGAAAATGGGGTTGTCCACTTTTGACGCTCCATAACCCTGTTTGGTTAAATGCATTGAAGCGAGCACTTCGTAAGCATTGAAAATCATCCAAAATTTGCTGTACAACTCAGGCGCTGTTGCTATGGTGTCATCCAAAGTGTCAGACATAGTTCAGGGCATGGGCTAATCCCCCGGGGGTAGGGGTATATATCCCCCCATTTTCTGAGGTGGAGGGGATTGCCTTTTGAATCATCACCCCACTTTTTTGTGATGAGCCAAAACTTTTATGTGGCTTGTGAAGAATTTTCTGGATTTCCCAAAATGTTTACAGTTTCACTATAAAGGGGAAGCAATGTTAAAAAGTCATAAATATACCATTGTGATGCAAGATACTGCACGAATTTGATACACATAACTGATGAGCATCTTCATCATGAACATCGCCCCCTATATAGTGTACGTGGTATCGCTCCCCCCTCCCCGCTTTTCAAATTTCCACGGCCGGGGCAAGGCATCACCCCACCTTTCCCCATCCCCACCCCACCCCCAATTTGCAACACAGATTTACGCCACTGGTTCAGGGCAAAGACGCTTCTGTTAAAACTGTCATCGAACCCAGAATCAACTTTATACGAGAAGTATGGAAGGGCTGCGTAGCACCGTGATCAGAATATTGACAAGAATATAATATATAATCAGTGCTCTGAAATATGTAATTGCCGAGCTTTCGGTAACTGAGTAGGCTACCTTCTTCAGGGCCAGCAGATTCAGTTCTGAACCGTGAACTGACCCCTCCCACGGGGAAAAATTTCTGGATCCGCCCTGCAATCGGTCTCAGTTGGGAACTGAATCTGCTTGCCCTGAAGAAGGTACTCAGTTACCGAAAGCTCGGCAATTACATGTTTCAGAGCACTGATTTTACATCATATTCGTGATTATATGAGAAGTGTTGGTTGCTTGTCTGTTGCTAAGTAGGTTTTCGGACAATGATGACAAGTCCTCTTTCCTATCTCACCGCATCTGCTTTCCCGCCTCTAGTGATACTTCTGCTGCTAGGAATTGATTTTTTTAAAATGTTCCACAATATGTACAAAAGTAGAAACTACTCAAACAAAACCAACAGAAATATGACTGCTCTTTGTAATGCATTTATTTAGTTATATCAATGGCACTAGCAAGCGCACTATTCAAAGCTTCATCTACAAAAATATAAAAACAAACAAAAAAAAATCAAGAAAAAAATAGATATGGCATGACCCTTCTGCAGCTTCCAGACGCTGACATCAATTTTAGACGTCTAGCCATCTGTTCACTAAAATTTTACCTGGAATTGGCAAACACTTTGCCCGAAGTGCACAATAACACCTGTTGTATACGTCAATGTTTCTTTTTCCGGTTTTTTTCTTCTTGTTTAATGTTATTTAAAAAGATCAGGTATATCGTTCAAAAGCTCTAGTCGTTGACCTTTTTTTCAAACGTGGGGTCAATCAGAATTTACAAGTTAAAGTGAGACGGTTGGGAAATGTTTGTGCATAGGTTAAAGATGTGATAAAGTAATAACCACCAAAGTGTGTAGGCCTGAAGTTACACTGGTGTTCCGAGGGTTGTAAATCGTGTATCAGGAGAGTCAGATCTTTTAATTGAATCAAACAGGTTGACTTTTTGAAACTGCGCCTCGGTTCTACGCCATAAGTGTGGCAAAACAAGGCAAATTCTTTTTTGAAATTCGATTTGCAGTTACATTAAAATATAAAGTAATACAATTAACCTAAATCAGAAAAACTCTCAAAAGGGCTAACTTCTGCTCAAAAAGGAAATCCCTAGCGAAGGCGTAAGAGCTGTAAACAATTAAAGTCTATAAGCCTTACAAACTGCTCATTCCTGCAACTAAAAGCGAATAGAGCAACTCAGAAATCTTTGTCGTGAAGTTCATGTATTTCAAGACATAACGGCATACATACACGGGATTATTTATTTTCAGATGACGGGTGCTCGAACAAAAATGACCCAAGGGGCCTCTAAATGGGAAAAACTGCGAAAAAACTTTTTCCAAAACAGTCCTTTTGGAAAATGACTCAAAATTACTTTTCCAAAAACGTCGTCACACTGAACTTTCAGGTCTCATTACTTGATTTATAGTAGAAAGGTTTCCTGTCCCGGGATTCTCCTAAACACTGGTAACTAGTCAAACTCACTTTGGAATTCCATTGAGAGGCAGTGGCGAAAAATGGAGGGGTACCGGTAAATAAGGGGCGGATTGACTTCGACCAACATTTTGTTTGAGGTCATCGTCAAACAAATTCCGTGTAGGTGTCCTTAAAATCAAGTCTTATTTACTACCAACAGTATCCTTTGCTTCAGTCACACGGCGGAGGAAGTCTACGACTGTACTGGCCAAGTTGGGAATGCTGGCGGTAGCAGAACCAGAGCACATAGGCTGACACACGGACTTTGCATCCTGTTGACATCAAATCAAATCAAATCAAATATACATAAAACGAGTGTCGATTTGAAAGGTGAAAAGTTGTTACCTACAGTGCTTTGCTTTTATCGAACGAGTGAAGTCGCATCAGTGTAATCATAATTCGGCCCAATGTTCACCGACTCAACACGAGTCGTGCACATGTTTCCTCTATTATTGCACAGCATTATAAGACAGACTGATAAAAGTAATAATTTCCAGTTATTTACCAGGGCAGCGCCGAATGCCAAGAAGACCATTTCTGTTTCCCGCACGTACCGACGGCAGATTTTCTGAAGACATGGAGACTTAGCCAGATCACAGTAGACGTTCAAATACACGCCAGCACTTTGCTATGAGAACGATATAAGACAAACATCTTGTTGAAATGTCGGCCCCCAAACAACTTATTCAGACTGAACCGCATTTATTGAAAGAGGTGTTTCCTAGATGGTGTCACCTATTATAAAACAAAACCTCATGAATTTATAAATAATATACTGTTGGTTTACATTCCACATGAATGACATCGAGATCAAACTTGCGACTATGCTCGTTTTTGCTATCGGTTCAGTTGCCCTGTGAAATAGGGGACTGTCAAAGGAAATCTTTCGAATAATATCTGGACAAGTGGTAGCTTCAACAACGAATTCTCGCTCCAGCGCTTCCCACCCAGTCCATTCAATATTCACTTACAATGAACTGCTGGTTAAGAAACATCTCTTTCAGCCAGATCACCGTTCCTGTGCAGACTCCGCACACCGGGCCCTCTTTGTTAAGCACACATGTATCTCCCTCTCTCTGCTGGACAGCTTTTGGTTGGCAACTTGGCAGGCTGCTGTTTCTGGCCGATGGGCAGACGTATCCACAATACTTACGAGTGTTGTCCTATCATTAACAAAGAATGAAGTCTATCAATACCTCTGTGCGTACCCTCTCTGCAGGGAAATTATACGCAGGGACTGTCTGTAGGATCGATGCAATAAGCGCGTCAGAGATGCAGATTTTGTGCAGCTTTCTATTCTTCCTTAATGTATGAAAATTGTTGAACTCTTCTTTAGTCAAGTGCATTGAGGGTGAGCTTTAAAAGTGTTGGTGGTTTTCCCGGTCAACAGGAAGCAGTGTTGTTGTGTTGTCATTCTGAGAAGACTGCCCAGTTTAGGAAGTCTCTGTTCAAATTGAAAACGCCAAATTTGCTCATTCGCGAGAAATATGAAGTTGCTTACCAGGTTATTGTCTTGAACTCGACTACAATAAATCACGAAATACAAGACACAATACGATAGCAAGAAAATTCCATAATTCGGGTAACATTCTAGGCTGAAATATATAAGAGTTGAAGTTTCGGAATTTGAGCTTTGCTAACAGATTTGGAACTTGTATTTCTTAAAAATAAGGTTTCACAGAAATTAGGTTGAATGGAACATTGAGGCTCATGCAGGCTACGCGCCAGTAAATAGGGTTAAGCTGCACATAAAATAACTATTTACATGCAGATCGATTGTCTGCTATGAGAGTATTTTTTTGTGGGGCGGGTGGGACGGATGTTTGTAAACAAAACAGGAAAGAGGGAGCCCCCATGATCAGGACTTTTATCTTGATATTCGGGAAAAAATGACCAAAGCTGAACCCTCCATAGGGATCTGTGTTGCAATAAAGTGTAGACGTCCATTTCCAAAATGGCTTGTGCCCTGCGATTTTATTTAGTTTATTTATGATTATTGATATTTTTTGGGGGGGGTTGTCTTAAAATGACGCATTTGCAGTAATCATGAAACGTACCAAGTACATTGATACAAACAGCCGAACATGGCCATATATCTCGTTGAAGTGGTTGACACAAAGCCTGTGCTCTGGTTGGCCTTCGGGGACGAAAGGGCAGGTAGAAAGTTTGAAGTACTCGACGTTGCTGCGCTGTGGATGCATGTAAAGAGATCAGCATCTAAACATCAGTCATTGCATTATAAAACGTGTAAGAGGAAAACATCCTGATTCGATTGTTAGAATTTCCAAGCAGTTTTTCGAATCAATACATGAACTACCGATTTTTGAAATACAAATGACACGGTTAGTTCCAGTGTGGGCAGCATAAACTGAGAATGGGCACCTATCAAGAATCCTGGTTGCAAAATCAGCCGTTGAAGAGCCAATGCTATCATTTCCCTGACCAGGCTTAAATTGTGGAAAACGACGATTAAAACTTTTTACATTATAATCAATACACTTTTACTGTTTTCAGTGTGTGTTTTTGCCTGTCTATTTCTACTCACCACAAACGCTGCATTCGTGAGGGAAGCCTTCATGAATTGATACGTTTCCACACAAATTCTGCAGCCTGCAGGGTCATCGTTACAGTCTTTGGACACTGGGTGATCTGTTTAGCCAGGAGAAAAAGCCACAGCCAAAGAAACCGTGACAAAATAAATGTAGTGGCATAAAAAGAAAAAAAAATTAACTGTTGTAAAAAGTACGATTTCATTCTTGCATGTGCACTCGGTGTTGCTAAAGCAACAACGCGCGATAGATTTCCGCCAAACACACGTCACATGTAGAAAAGCTGCTTTCATGGTTTATTGTTCCTGTTTTGAAGGTTAAAATGAATGAAAATGAAACTTTCACTTCCAAATTATTTATGCATGGTTATGAATAGTCTGCAAAACATTTCCAGAAAAAGTAGAGGCAGATTATCATTGAAAACTGAGAAAGTTTTGGTTTAAACCCACAGGTAATATTTTATTGATGACTTTTGTACTGTGGTGCATAAGATGGAGAGGCGGTGGGAATCTGTGGTGCATAAGATGGAGAGGCGGTGGGAATCGACATTCCCATAGGATAAACTATTTCTGGAAAGACTAATCTTTGAGACCCTTTTTTGGTTTCGAAATATTCTTTTTATAAATGGCAAATGAAAATCAGCTCTGCACACGCAAACCCAATTGTAAGAAAAAAAAGGGACATTACATGACAAAACATCATAAGAAATAGGCCCACCTTTTCCAAAGACAGAGACTGCCACTGTCACCAACAGTACAACAACCAAGGTGCGGAACATTGTGCTGAATTTGTCAATCAGACCACGAACCACACATGAGAGAGCACAAATTGATACCAAGATGCTGAGGCCGAGACTTCTCAAGAAATTTCGCTTCGCTTCCGATTTTATACTCTTCTCCAACGAATGTATTAGCCACTAAGATCAGAGCTTTTTAGCTTTGCATAAGGACACAGGATATCGCGCCGTCGAAAGGTGCACCATACCACTCTAATAGAATATATCATTTCCGTATCATCATAGATTATGTTAATATTATTATAATTTATTATGAAACGTTGAACTCGTTGACTGAAAGGCACGTGCACGGATTAGAATTTAGCCCACTTGGTTATTACGTGGTTTTTTATTGGCTGGAGCTGGTTTTTGAAGTTCCTTTTGCTGCCAGCTGTCTACGTTGTTACTAAATTTTCGAAGAAAAATTGGCTAGACTGCTATACACCCTAGAATTCATGAAAGATTTCATCCTGAGAACAATTGATTAGTGGGATCTGTTCACAGTGACAGGAATGACAATTGGGTACCTGCCACATTCCTCTTGTCAGTAAAACACAGCCTTTACCGTTTGTCATGTTGAGCCTTTTTTGAAAAGGTAGTCATAGATTCTTTGAGCCAGTTAATGTGTTGCGTTCTGGTAACGATGAAAACCAGCCTTTGTCTAGTAAAATAGACAAGAAACTGATATTATTCTGTTAAAAGTTTAGCAGTTAACTGCAGTGCCCACTGCCCTGCCGATTCGAACAACGATCCGACCTGAGCGTTGACCAGTCGACGTTGGTAATCGGAGCCAGCGCGTTTTGATTTTATTTATAGGTTCCTGGAAATCATTGAAAACTTTGGAAACGGTGAATTCTTGTCGTTTCAGTTATACGTGAGCAAAATAAGTTCTATTTTGTCAACATGACATGTTTTCGCTGTAAGTGCTGAAAAGAAGCACAACCTAAACCCGTTGCAAAATGCCTCTTCCTTGTCATCAACTCTGTCTCCCAATCCCTATTCTTTGCTTACATCAGCCAGAGCCTTGCGTGCCGTTGATCACTCTTTTCAAATATCGTTTTTCTTTTACATTTAGTCTTTTTGACCATTGATCTACCAGACCTAAATTTTCCAGTCAACCGTCACTTCTGACAATTATACAGTCAATCCAACATCAACCAAATTCAGCCGTCGTGGTCTCTGGAATTAGCCAATGATAGTAGGTTGCTTGATTTTTTTTCGGGAGGTGGCAAAACTCGGGAGTTTCTTTAAGCAGTCTTTTCACAACCAGTCTGAAAGATGGAGCTATAAAATTTCGGGGACTTTTACAAGCCTGCAAATTTACGAAGGAAAATGACTTAGTCTCAAAGCAGTATCGAGTTCAGATTTTACACTCGGTGTTTCAAGCCATTTTCTGTTTTGAAAGCTCAAAAACCCGTCTGTGAAACAAAATGAGGTGGCGGCCTTGCTCTCCGACGCAGTAATCTGGGCCTCCCGACCCAAATAATCTAAAACTTAAAGTAAAAAGCAGAAGTAAAGCTCGACTTGTTTTCTTGCATATTACGGTGGTCACAACGAAAACAAAGATCTCAATTCATGTTCATCAACAAGAATTTGACATTTTTTTCTTTATAAAAAAAGCATTTTCATTAATATATGCACAAAGGCCCTCTTTGTCTGATGAGGGATAAGAAGGGTAAATAAAATCACTCATGAACAACATTTTGAAGAAATTTGGCCCACTGCTGCCAGACATCTACGAATTTACCCACTGAACACCAAGTAAGGAATGTTTAAATGATGATTACTTCCAGGTATGCTGAAAACCTTTCGACAAGAGTTACCCAAATACTTGCACGTACGGTTTTTGATCTCCTTACAAGTGTTTAAACGTGTCAGAGGTACATGGAATATTAATCATAAAAAATTCTAACGCTGGGCATCAGATTATAGTAAGTTTGTGTCGAGTCTCTCAAGGTCGACGGAAACCTAGCCCTTGGAAACACCGTACAGTTGCAACAGTAGGTTGGATGGCATCCTGAAATCCACAAATTTCCATGGACAATGTGGAAAGAGAAGACCGCATCGGTAAATCGGCCATAAAGAATCGGAACATGCTTTCAGTTACAATCCAATTATTCGGAAAGAAAACGCACGTACCCCCGAATGATCGAACTCACGGCGATTCATTTTTTGTGACAGTGGTTAGACCCGTCCCAAATACTCTGAAAATATAAGTGCTTTTTATTCTCCAACTCTATGTGCACAAACCACACATTGACACCACGTTTTGGTTTTTGGCAAAGATTTCGAGCGGCAAGTTTATTTGTTTTTCTGATTTCAACACCACTTTCTATTGCCACACTTGGCAGAAATTCTGTAAGATTTCTTGGCTCACTTGCCATACTTGCCACACTTGGCAGAAACTCAGGCACACTTGCCAAAGAGATACTTGCCACACTTGGCAGAAAAACATGAACAAACTCGCCAAAGGCTTGCCACACTTGGCAGAAAAAGGCAAGGTTGTTAGCAGAAAGACTTGCCACACTTGGCATAGCAGGTTGGAATTCCTTGGTACACTTGCCATGCAGACCAGCTTGTCCTATAATTAATAGTCATGTGATTCTATTTATCCTTTACAACTTAAGAAAAACTTACATAGGCACGCCGTTTTTTCCACCGCTTGAACAGGCGGTTGGAATAAGCCCCACCAGAACAAGAGGGTGCTTGGCGTAGTCAAAATAAAACATTACTAACAACTAACTTTACGTTATAACATTACT